TGTACAATCGCTCGGTCTTCTTTGTTTGAGCGTATCATAGATCGTCAATATGATGACCCTCATTTTTTTGTCCTTAGGGACATAGTGTGGCACGGTAGTGCCAAGCAGGTTATTGTTGGAGATGATGGAGTTTTGAGGATGCAGGGTCATGTTTGTGTGCCTAATGTGGATAGACTTCGTGAGTTGATTCTTGAGGAGATCCATAGTTCCCGGTATTCTATTCATCCGGGCACCGCCAAGATGTATCATGACTTGCGGCAGTATTATTGGTGGAGGAGAATGAAGAAAGATATAGTTACATATGTGTCTCGGTGTCTAAATTGTCAGCAGGTAAATTGTGAGCATCAGAAACCCGGTGGTTTGCTTCAGAAGTTGGAGATTCCTGAGTGGAAGTGGGAGCGTATCACTATGGATTTCGTTGTTGGACTCCCACAGACTCAGAAGAATTTCGATACGGTTTGGGTCATTGTGGACAGGCTGACAAAGTCAGCGCATTTCATTCTTGTGGCAGTTACTTATTCTTCAGAGTGGTTGGCAGAGATTTATATCCGTGAGATCGTCCGTCTTCACGGTCTTCCCGTGTCTATCATTTCTGATCGAGGTACGCAGTTCACCTCGCACTTCTAGAGGGCAATACATCGTGAGTTGGGCATGCGGGTTGAGCTAAGCACAACATTTCATCCTTAGACGGATGGGCAGTCCGAGCGCACTATTCAAATATTGGAGGATATGCTCTGCGCTTGTGTTATAGACTTCGGAGGTTCGTGGGATCAGTTCTTGCGGCTAGCAGAGTTAGCCTACAACAACAATTATCAGTCGAGCATTCAGATGGCTCCCTATGAGGATTATATGGTAGGCGGTGCCGGTCGCCAGTAGGATGGTTCGAGCCGGGGGAGGCTCGGTTGTTGGGTACAGACTTGGTACATTATTCCTTGGATAAGGTCAAGATTATTCAGGATCAACTTCGCACAACTCATTCCAGGCAGAAGAGTTATGCCGACCGTAGAGCTCGTGATGTTGCATTCATGGTCAGAGAGAGAGTGTTGCTCCGGGTATCACCTATGAAGGGTGTGATGAGGTTCAGAAAGAAGGGCAAGTTGAGCCCTAGGTATATCGGGCCTTTTGAGATTCTTGAGCGGGTGGGAGAGGTGGCTTACAAGCTCGCGTTGCCACCTGGTTTATCAGCAGTTCATCCGGTGTTTCATGCGTCCATGCTCCGGAAGTATCACGGTGATCCATCCCATGTGTTAGATTTTAGCACCGTCTAGTTGGACAAGGATTGGACCTATGAGGAGGAGCCGGTGGCTATTCTAGCCCGGCAGGTTCGTCAGTTGAGATCGAAGAGTTATCCTTTAGTTCGAGTGCAGTGGAGAGGTCAGCCCGTTGAGGCAGCTACCTGGGAGTTCGAGTCGGACATGCGGAGTAGATATCCCCACCTTTTCACCAGTTCAGGTACTTTTCTATGTCCGTTCGAGGACGAACAGTTATTTTAGAGGTGGAGAATATGATGACCCGATAGGTCATCTCATGTTTTCAAACCTAATTCTGTGATTCGAAGCCTTAAAAATCATATTTAGCCTTCCTCAATTTGCGTGCGCAGTCTAAGCGTCTTTCTAGAAAGCTTTTATATTAAAAACTGATAAAAATAAGAAATTTTGCCTAAAAACTTCATTTGAGTTGACTTCGGTCAATATTTTTGGTAAACAGACCCGAATTTGTGAGATGGTCCCGGTGGGTCCATATCGTGATTTGGGACTTGGCCGTATGCCCAGAATCAAAATCGGAAGTCCCTAACCCGAGATATTGGACTTTGTTGAAATTTGAAAGTTAAAGCCTAAATGAATTTGAAATGTTGATAATTGTTTGACTTTTTGGATATCGGGTTCGTATTTTGGTTTTGGACCCGGTATAGGTCCAATACCATATTTATGACTTGTCTGTGAAATTTAGTGAGAAACGGAGTTGGTTTGACGTGATTCAGACGTCCGGTTGTGAAAATAGAAGTTTTAAAGTTTTCTTGAAAATTTCATGTGATTTGGTGTTCAATTCGTAGTTCTAGATATTAATTCGGTGATTTGATCGCACGAGCAAGTTCGTATAATATTTTTAGACTAGTGTGGCCTTTTGGTTAGAGCCTCGAGGGCTCGGGTGAGTTTCGGATAGGCTACGGAGTGAAAATAGGACTTAGAGCATTGCTGGTTCTACAACTGGTGTCTGATCTCGCATTTGCGAAATCAGTGTTCGCATTTGCGAGCAAATTCTTCGCATTTCCGAAGAGTACCTGGGCCAACCTTAACTCGCATTTGCGATCTAGAGGTCGCATTTGCGGGGAGCCAGTGATCGCATTTGCGGTCAAGTCTTCGCATTTGCGAAGAGGAGCTGGGTCAGTTAGTGGCCGCAATTGCGGATTGGTCAGTGTTCGCATTTGCAAACTTTTCATCGCAAATGTGATGATTGCAGAGGTGTGGGAGTCTTTGCAATTGCGATGGATTTCTTGCATTTGCAGGCTTCGCATTTGCGAAGCCCAGGTCGCAAATGCGACATCTGCAGCTGGACAAAATATGACTTAGATGGGATTTTTTATTCAGTCTCCAAATTTTCAAACCTAGAAACATAAGAGGCGATTTCCAAAGAACTTTTCTTCCCCAAATCATTGGCATGTGATTCTAAACTAGTTTCTTTCAATCTTCCACTACATTTCACAAGTTTTCAACCTAAAATCTAGAGTTTTCATGGTGGAATTGGGGGGTATTAGGTAGAAACTAGGGATTTGGTAAATTGGGGATTTAGACCTCAAATTAAGGTATCCATTTATATAACCGGGCTTGGGGGTGAATGGGTATTCGAGTTTTGGTTCGAATTTCGGGTTTGGACCAAGCGGCCCCAGGTGTTGACTTTTGTTGACTTTTCAATATTGACCTAAATTGAATTCTTTGCAATTGTGGGTAGTTCCTAAGGCTTAATTTGAATCGTTTGGTTGGTAATTTTCTAGATTCTATTAGTTCGGAGGCTTGTTTGAAAGGAAAAGCCGTGGTTGAGCTTTGAGTTCGGCCATTAGAGCGAGGTAAGTGTCGTGGTTAACCTTGGCTTGAGGGATTAGGACTTATTTGTCTATTTGCTACGTGTTTAGATGTTGGGTACAACGTATAGGTGAGGTGACGAGTACCTATACGTTGTTGTCAGGTTATAGCATGCGGGTGAGTCTTATTCTTGTAATTGTTGCTTTCCTTGATCATATTATTCATGCTTAGACTAGTTAATCGTTAAGGTCATCGTTCTTATCATGTTTACGGAATTTTGTAATAATTGAGTATTGATTCAAAGTTGAAGTTGGTATTGTGAAACCAAATGTTGAAGTAAGACTTGTCCTTGTTATTTCAATCTCCCTGTTGTCATTGTTCATTGCTTTATGGTGAAGGAGAGTGTTAATGCACGAAGGGTGATGCCGTGCCACCTTGTGAGTGTTAATGCACGAAGGGTGATGCCGTGCCATATTGTGAGTGTTAATGCACGAAGGGTGATGCCGTGCAATGTTACGAGAGAGTTAATGCACGAACGGTGATGCCGTGTCGTTTCTATTGGTTCATATGGTGAGGTTGAGAGTAAAAGCACGAAGGGTGATGCCGTGCATTTTTCTTTACTTTGTTCACTTGTTCTTATTTTCTCAAGGTATATTGGTTGATCAAGTTCTCATTACTGCTGTGATTCTTTATTTTGTGACCCCTCAGCATGTCCCCCTCCCGATATTGCTTGTCTAGCTTTTACTTGCCGTTATCTTTGTACATATACTATTAAATTGCACAGGTTTATTTGTAGGTGTCTTGTCATAGCCTCGTCACTACTTCGCCGAGGTTAGACTCGACACTTACCAGTACATGGGGTCGGTTGTACTGATACTGCACTCTGCACTTCCTGTGCAGATTTTGGTATTGGTCCCAGCTGATCGAGAGGCGTAGCAGCTCGGACTGGTTCATCGGAGACTCAAGGTAGATCTGTCGACGTTCGCAGACCTTGAAGTCCCCGCCTATCTTTTCTGTTTTTACTGTTTCTTTCATTTAAACAGTTGTATTCCTTTCAGACTTTTATTTGTAGTAAATCTTAAAAGTTCGTGAATTGTGACTCAAGATCCGGGTGGTAGTAAATATTGAAGTTTTTATATTATTCCGCACTCGCTGTATTTCATTTTAGCTTATTTGCTGTTATATACTGAATTGAGCAAGGATTGGCTCAATAATTCTCTAACGTCGGCTTGCCTAGCAAGTGGAATGTTAGGCGCCATCACGGTCCCGACGGTGGGAATGCCGGGTCGTGACAGGAGTGGTCGGCGACGAAGAATACAAAAGAAGTTCGTGGGGAGATTCTGAAACAGAATTAACTAAAGATAGATTTTTCTATAGCTTTCCACGTGTTGCATATTGGTTCGCCCTATTTGCCAAGTCATCGCGTGTGAAAGACACGCATATTTTTGTTCAGAATTCAGTTCAAGTGTCTAATAGACACACTTTAATTTGAGTTCAAGTGTTCAATAGGAACAACCTCTAGTTTAGGTGTCTAAATGAAAAACTATGATAAGTTTTAGGGGTTGTCTATGTATCCAGCCTTTTAAAAAATACATATAGGAGTAAGAATTCAATTACGAACAAGACAATTGTAGACAATTGTGCGCGAGATGTAATGTGTCTGAGAAAAAGCTTTATTCACATTTATTTATACCACTTTTAATGTATACTTTATGTGTGTTTTGCATACATTGTTATCACTTAACTGTAGTTATTACGGTAAATCAACATGTTTTTGCATATAAAATTTAATAATTTACGTGAATAAGAATTATTTAATACTCATTTATAATTTTTAATAATTTACGCGAATAAGATTTATTTAATACTCATTTGTGTAATATAGTGGCATCACTTACCATACCTAAAAGTATAAAAGTTAACAAATTAAAACAATATAATGGGAACACTTAAAATTTAAAACAAGGATTTGCGATCAAGAAGAAAAACACAAAATGTTAAACGATAACATAAAAGGGGCAGCCCGGTGCACTAAGCTCCCGGTATACACGGGGTTCGGGAAGGGCCGAACCATAAGGGTCTATTGTCACAACCTTACCCGCATTACTCCAAGAGACTGTTTCTACGGCTCGATTCCATGACCTTCTGGTCACATGACAACAACTTTACCAGTTACGCCAAGGCTCCCCTTTAAACGATAACATACAAAAGTAAAATTTGTGATTGTTTGATTTTACCCCTAAAGTTAAGTTAACAAAAAGTTAGTGCATGAACAGCATGTAGAATAAAATCTTCCCATAAGTTATGCTAAAAGTTACTGAACAATTATCTTTTTCTTGGGTTATGTTCATGCCTTGAACTTGGTCCTGCAAGGAAGTCCCTCCACTCCACATTACTCATCAGAAAAGGGGCTTATCTTAATATAGTCTCCTCACACTGAGGAGCTATGTAGTGGTACAGCTTCTTAATGCTAATATATCAGCTAGAAGAAGTACGATCCTGTCATATCCTCTCCTCGCACTTGCCCCTTGCTAATGATTTGATGATAAATGTAACCCCCATGCAAATGAAATGTCCAAAAGTAAGGAGGTAAATGAGCTGTACAGCTTCGCCAGCTATTCTTTCTGCCAGAGATACAAAGTCATTCTTGGAATTGTTGAAGCCAATTGGAGTACATTTCTTCATGTTCATCAACCATGCCACCACCATACTCAGTCCTGTCAAGCTATTAGTTCTTGTTCGATTGAAAGCATCAATACTAACTATGATCCCTCCTGCAGGTGAGGAGACCACTAGATTGAGAGGTAGAATTGCTATGATTCATGTTCTCAATCTATAAAGTTTTCACCTGAACATAATCAGAAAACAGCAGTTGCAGCCACGAGAGTGTGCAATGTTCCTTTCACAAGGACCATAAGATTCTAGATGATTAGGTGCTCATGATCATCTACCTGGATAACTTCCGTTTGGTGACAGTGACTCTGTAAAACAGGTAAATGAGCGTCCATCAGCATCTACTAGAGTACTAAAAACACCAGATTTTATTAAATAGTTAGTTTCCTAACATTCACAAAAAAAGAAAAGAAAAAAAAGAATGATAATTGGACATACACCTAAATGTAAAAGTTCATGCAAGTAAAGGAAACGACTAGGTTCTGCCCCTCCATCAAATCCTTGACATTCTTTTTTTATGTCGGTGGTGTCCAGCCCGGCTTTCACACCTTGACTATTCTGTCGGTACCTGCTATCTTCCACCAGTACAGGTACCGCGTAACTCTATGAACCAAGGCTTAAGCAGATTGGAAGAAATCACCTAGTGTTTTCTTCTCCTGCTGAGAGTTAAACCTGACCTCATGGTTCTCCTCCTACTTCATTGGGTCACACCTTTAGGTGCCCCATCAAATCCTCAACACTAGAGAGGCTTTAAAGTGGGATACCCTTGTTCAGACAAAACTTATGTAAAGTGGATTATGTTGGTTACTTGGTTAGTCTTCTGTGATCAAGATGAAACTTCAAAGTATATAGCTTTCTTTACTGGAAAAAGATTCACCTGTTATGATCTTTTTGTCTCTCATGACTACAATAATTCTTTCACATTTAGTTTTGAAGCCCCTTTATATAGTAGGGACTTACAAAAGAAAAAGCTCTCCTAATGAATCACCTTAGAAATTGGGTGTAGGGCTTAATGGAAGTCTAACATGCTCCCCTCGTCACATAATTCTCTAAATTACACTAGAGCTGTCGTAAACTTAAACATCTAAAATTTAGAGTATGTACTGAAGCAATTTGCCCTCAAAATATCTCCGGTTCCTTTCTTTCCATGAAGTCCAATATACACATGCTGGAATTCTTCTCTATATTTCTCTGTTCCTTAATGAGCTACTTTAATTTGACGACAGGTTTTCTCTTTTTTCCATTACAGAAAAAAGATTGGAAGAAAGTGCTCTTACTGTTATAGAAGTGGTGCTAAGACAAAAAAGTTGTGCCAACTAGCTAAATTTTAGAATCCGAAGAATCTAAGAATGATAAAAACTCTCTCAAAGAAGAAAAAAGTAGAGAATTGTATCTTATAACAATAACCAAAGTCACTCACCACACATCATTGTTGGCAAGAGGACTGACGGTATGCAAGTGCCTTCTAAACCATGGCTGCCATAAGAATCTGACCCGGTGGTGTTATAAGATGTAGCTGATGGCCCTTTGCTTATCATCATCTTGGGGGAGGCATTGCCCAGAGTCCAGCTAGCTTACATAGCTTGTGAACACATCAAGTGCTCAGACGAGAAAAGGATTTTAACCAGCTTCTTGTTGTAAAGTCGTTATGTTGAGATAGCAGATACTCCTATACGCTTCTCCCTAATATATTTCTTATACATGTTGAGGTCTAAAAGAACCAAGATTTTTAACTACTTTTTCCACCATTGTGAACCAAACACTTGCTTTAGAGAAGGCATCTTAGATCCTAACCAGTTACATCCTTTACCAAAATTCTCCACATGAACATGATCCATTAGTAAAATGATGAAAACGATTAACGTCTCTGACAACTATTTCCCTCCCTGTTATTTTTGAAGCAAACTTCATAAAAGAATGACAGTCCCCACAGATCCTGAGGTTCTTCATAATTCTTATAGGAGCATTTGAGGGCAAACACATCAACCCAAATGTAAAAGCAAGTTTCTCACTATGATGCCTCAGAAGCTCATGTTTTCTGCTCTCATCCACATCGTGCAGGTCATGTTCAGCTTTACCTTTGTAACCTAACTTCTCCATATCTACCAACAACTCATCCAATCTTGAATAAACCTCTGCAATGCTTGGATGATTTCTCTCCCCGACCATGAATGTGTGAACCTTGTCTTTTATCTGTATCCAACTCTTGCCTCTTTCTTTCTTTGCTTCACTGTCTTTAAGAAGCTTTCTTGTTGATGCAACATCGCCCCACCTTCTCTTGGAAGCATATATGTTTGAAAGCAAGACATGGTTCCCAGCATTATTGGGCTCGAGCTCAAACAGATGTTTAGCAGCAATTTCAGCCACCTCAACATTTCCATGGACCCTGCAAGAAGCCAAGACAGAACCCCACATCGAAGGAGTTGCAGCAAAGGGCATATTTTCTATTAAATCCTTAGCTTCTTCAACCAGGCCTTTTCTACCAAGAATGTCAACCATACATGAATAATGATATACATTGGGAGATAAGTTATGCTCTTTCTTCATCTTGTCAAAATATATCCGCCCCTTGTCAACCAAACCCATGTGGCCACAAGCAGATAGAACCGACACATAAGTCACTTCAGTCGGGTAAAATCCTGCTAACTGCATTTTCTCAAACAATGTCATAGCCTCTAAAGGCCGCGCATTTCTAGCAAAGCCAGAAATCATTGAATTCCATATTACAGCATTCTTCACCTCAGCATTTGAGAACACAATATAGGCTTCGTCAATACATCCACATCTTGCATATAAGTCTACAAGAGAGGAAGCCACGTAAACATTGGCACCAAAACCAGTTTTCCGGACTATAGCATGCACCTGGTTCCCTTCTAACAAAGCAGCCAATGCAGCACAAGCAGATATAATAGAAGAAAGCGTAAATTGGTTATGCTCGACCCCCGACTTTTGTAGCCTGTGAAAAAACATTATAGCCTCCTCATATAGCTCATTTTGGACATACCCAGCAACCATTGAACTCCAAGTAACATCATTCCTCTCAGGCATGGAATCAAAAACCCGAAAAGCATCGTTCATCAACCCGCATTTAGCATAAACATCAAGCAAAGCAGTAGAAACATAAACATTTGATTCCAGTGATACCTTCAGTGCAAAAGCATGCAATTGTTTGCTTTCCAAAACAGCAAATTTGGCAGCACAAGCACAAAGAACACCTGAAACTGTGAACCCACTAAACTGCGTCCCTTCCCTTTGCATTTGAACGAAAAGATGGAGAACTTCTTCTCCATCTTTTTTCTGGATATACGAACCCATCAGGGTGTTCCAAGAAACAAGAGTTCTATGAGGCATTTCGTCGAACACTTTACGAGCAAAATCAACAGAGCCGCATTTTGAATACATATTTATGAGCATGTTTGTTGTCAATGTATCTGCTTCATATCCAAACTTTATGATCTGGGAATGCACAGATTTTCCATTCATTGCAGCCCTGTCCTTGGCGCATTCTTGTACTGCACGGTGCAAAAACGGTAGAATATTTGTATCTTTGCATTTCCAAACGTTGTCGAATTCTTCTTCCTCAGCTGCTTTCTGAAGTGTAACGTCCGCGACTGAGGATAAATTTCTCCTGTGAGCATAAAAATATGGACTGAAAATCTTGCATCTTCGTAAGGCTTTCATTTCATGCCTTCACCCAAAAAGCTCAAAGCATACCTGGAGTACCTCGTATTACGAGGGACAAAGTTTGAATCAGACGAAATACTTTATTCGCACTAATTAAATCAAATAATTTAAGCTAAAACAAAATAGCCCTTCAAACTTGGCCCTATATGTCAGTTAGACAATCAAACTAGTTAGTGATATATACATTTTTGATTGGCAAAAGTAGGGTGTTCGCGATTTGGTATGGTGTCACTAACTAATTTATTTCTTGAACATGCCAGCCGCAAGCGTAAAATCTCCCCTCGTCCAAAAATTGTACCGCGTTTCGTTTTAGAACTATATAACACATCACACCATTTGTCAAGATTTTTTTGTTACTTCTTTCAAATTTGAATACCCTTGCTAAATTCCTAGCTTCGCCACTGTGGTATGGGTTAGGTCAAAACTAATAAATACGTATTTGTATTGAGAAATTTACTAAATACGTATATTTATAACACAACTCTTAAAATATAATATGGTCTAGTTCTTTGCAGAACCCCGCGCATAACGAGAGCTGAGTGCACAAGCCACCGAGAGATCATTATCCTATAATTTGAAACTCATATTCAAATTTTGGCTCCGCCTATCTTGGGGAACACATGTATTCAGGAGTCATACACCTATACATCTGCCAAATAGATGAGGCGAGGAATCTTAGTAACTCCGTTGGTTGACTACCTAAACTTTCACCTTGTTGCTGCGTGTTTGATTTCCCACATGATAATTCCCTCTTATTTTTGCTCTCCTTACTGCCTATGTAATTTTAAAAAAAAACTAAAAAAGTATAGGAATATATATTTTCAAGAGTTAAGTTTATGTGTCTAACTGAAAAATCATGCCAAGTCTTGTTGGACTTTAAAGCATTGGGCTTCAAAGACTTTAAACATTGGGCTTTAAAGTCTAAGAGTATGAATTGGAAATGGTGGGAAATAAAATGGAGGGAAATGAATGAAGTGAGCTTTTGTCTTGAACTTTGTCCCTCATTGGTGAGGGACAACTACATTTGTGTGTATATATATAGAATCACTTCTTAAAGCTCTTAAAAGGAGTTGAAGAGAATGAACCCTCGCGCCGTCGTCGTCGCTCGCTCGGCTCGGATTTGGATTTGGATTTGGATTTGGATTTGGAAAATGATCGATAAGATTATTTTGGACAAAATTTATTTAATAAATTATTTAATAATTAATTAAATGTCAGTTAATTAGCCACTGTCCGGGCGTGACCGCGGTAGGACCGCGCCAGAATACTGCTGCAGATTCAGAAGGCCACTCTGGCCGCGGTCCTGGCGTAACCGCGGCAGGACGCGCAAACTTCTGAACAGACACCTTTTCCAGAACAAACATCACACCTCTTCCAATAAAACTTCTTTCTTTCTGAAAATACTGCATTCTAACTCGCAGTCTCTCTCTCAAATTCGTAAGTGTGATTTTGCTCCGTTCTTTGAGTTCGTTGGTATCCTGCAGTTTGTATTGCCAGTGTTGCAGGAAGGTTTATTCCGTTTCATCCTGGGAGGATTTAATCCATTACCTTGGCAACGTGTGAGGGGGTTGAAATTCCTTAAGGACGCACAAGCAAATTGTGGACTCGGAATATTTCTTATTCTTTACTGGTTTTCAGTTTCTTTTATTCTTCTAACAGTTTTTCTGTTTTTGTGTTTTAACACAGTAGCGGATTACAAGTCTAAGGTGCTATCTATTAATTTATACAATATTTTAAGAATTACTCCCTATTATCAACTTATATGACTATAGTTTGACTTGGATGGAGTTTTAAAAAATGGAAAAGGGTCAGAAATATCCCTTTATTATTCGAAAAAGTTCACTTATATCCTCCGTTATACTATTGGTCCACAAAAGTCCCCGATGTCTCAAAACTGGTGCAAAGATACCCCTATGCCGTTAGGACCCTCCACCATGGCAAAATTATCTCACTTGGCCTGACATATTGTTGAGGTGGATGCCACGTGGCAAGCCACCTCATCGCACCTATCTTATTTTACCCCTCCTCTACTTCTTTTTCCACCATCACCTCCCTCTTCACCCAACCACCACCAACATCACCTCCTCCTTCACTATTCATCTATTCTTCCACCACCATCATACCCACTAGTCTTGACCACCATTCCTTTACCAAAAATCAAACTCAATCGAAAATTTTAATATTTTGATCTCTCTTTATAAATTCTAAATTATATCAGGGAGAATGATAAGAGAACAGTCTATTGGAATTTCTTTATCCAACCTTTGCCCCAGTTTTGCTTCAGCCGCGTTTAAGCCCTTCAGAGAAACAGGCTGATTGAAGAGATTTAGTGAAGGCAATTTTGGAGCTACAGGCATTTTCATTGGGCAAAAAGTTTCTGAGACACTTAAAATAAACCTTATTATGCCTAATCACATTTATCTAAGCAGAGATATGCGCTCCTGGTTCCATATGATTGGTGAAAAGCTTGTTTGATTTGCAAATTTAGGATAAAGTGTAACGTACTCTCTTAAGTACATCATGTCTATCAAAAACTTCTTTCAAGAAGCTTGCCAATAATTTGGATCAGTTTGATTTAGTCTATTAAAAAAATCAAAATGTCCGGTTCAATCTGATTTTTGGTAAAAGAATGGTGGTCAAGATTAGTGGTTAAATAGTGGTGGAAGAATAGGTGTGTAGTGAAGGAGGAGGTGATATTGGTGGTGGTCGGGCCAAGAGGGAGGTGGTAGTGGAAAAAGAAGCAGAGGAGGGGGTAAAATGTGATATGTGCAATGAAGTGGCATGTCACGTGACATCCACCTCAGCAACATGCCAGGCCACGTGGGATAATTTTGACATGGTGGAGGGTTCTAACGACAGAGGGTTATTTTTGCACCACTTTTATGACGCCGGAGGGTTTTGTGGACCAATAGTATAACGGAGGGTATAAGTGAACAATTTAAAATAGTAGAAGGATATTTTTGACCCTTTTCCGTTTAAAAAATATACTTTGAAACTTGTGGTCTTAAATATATTATGTAATTTCTGGTGTTACAATTATTAAAAATAAAATAAAAAATTTAAAGTTAAAACGATTTCAATATAGAAAGATAACACTTTTTGGAATAAGCTAATAAAAGATATGCTTAAAATTTGAAATGAAAGATATACAATTATCATTAAGTGATAAAAGTGTATATTCAGAGTATATGTGATGACACTTTCCTTTTGTCCTTAATTTGGTACCCGCGCAAATTAAAAGACGTTCTGTTGTAGTTTTTCATAATGTCGGGTAATTCGGTTTTTTTTCTTGTAACTTGGAATTTTTGTTTCAAATTTCTTTTTTCGTTTAATCATACCGGCAGTTTTAGGGGAAGTGCACGAGTAGCCAACTTTAGGACCCCTCCCCCCCTCCCCCTCCTCCCCCAATTTAACGCATAGTTGCAGACTGCAGTGCATAAACGTTTATGAGTTTAGCCATTTTAGAATCAATTTTTGATATACGCAATTGAAGTTGTAAAAATTAGCATCCCAAATTAAGATTTCACGTGACGTTTGACATGTTACTTGTGCAAGCAAACTTCAGACAATAGAAAAAACAAACTTCAAATATTTTTGTCTGAAATTTAGGTTGGCGGCCCCAAACTTCAAATCCATATATCGGAAGTTTAAGTTATCAAGCCTAGACGCAAATGTCTAAAGTTAGCATTGCTCAAGTCAGAAATTGTTTTTTTTTTTTTTTAAATTAGCAACGTTATGTTACTTGCACTGCCATTAAAAGCTGAGGATTAAACTTTAATTTTGTTTTCATCATCTGCAAAAAAACAATTGTACGGAAAACAAAAACAAAACAACACCAGACTTACCCGCATAATTGCTACATGATAGAATAGTTATCATATCCAATTCGTTTCGAAGTTTGTCTATATTAGCTATCAGTTGAAAAGAAATAGGAACTGCAATAAATATTTGCAATTTTAAAGTGCTTTTGAAATTGCAACATTTACATTGTCCAAAACATCATTTCGGAAAGGATGGTTTAGGGCATGCTCCTTTGACTCCAATCCATGTGTTGAAACGGTAGACGTAAAAATTGTCTAGAATGAAAATATTACAGTGTTTTCCCCATAAAAGCTGAATTATTAAATTTTTTTTTTTTTTGGTTTCTCACCCGGTGTCCGGTACCCACATTGCGGTCCGACTAAATCCGAATTCGCGCCGGAAAATCCCACATTGGGGGTAAAGCGCTCCCTAACAAAGACGACTCCATACCCAGGGGCTCGAACTCGAGACCCCTGGTTAAGGATGAAGGAGTACTTACCACTCCACCACAACCCTTGTTGGTAATTATTAATATTGTTTCCCTAGTGTCTAAGTAAACTTTAAAATTTACAAACAATTTCCATCATAAAAAAAAAGTACATAAAAGAAATTGTGAGATTAAAGCTTTTTAAAGTTATTGTCGGTGAAATTACTAGTAATTACAGTTGAAAAATAAGATGAAGAAAAATAAATAAATATTCTTCAGGCTGAGGCGCGGATATCTCGCTATCTTTAAGGAGATTCAAGCCCATTGCGGTAACATCTTCACCAGTCCAGTAGTAATACTCTTGACTTGTCCCCTCCAGGGTACAGCAGCCCGACAACATCGCTTGACTCGAACAAACTCTGGACAAGTTGTTGAGTCCAAAGCTCCACAAGAATGAACACCTTCCTTCAACAAAAATAATATTCTCTTTTGTTTAGAGAATAAGTTGGAGATTGGATGTTCTCCTTCTCTTAACTCTCCTTTTCACAATAGCAACAACACCTTTTTCATGTACTGGACCATCACACATTTCTCATTCTCACTACCATATTTTTTCCATCAACAACACAACGAAGAAAATTACTATTTATAGGTGTAGAATTTCTTCCATGAAATAAATAACAAAATAGTGGGATAATAAAATTGTAGAACATGGTTGGTAGTTACAAAATTTAACATTTAGTGGGTAATTAGTGGTAGATTGGTTTCATGAGTTACACCAAAGTAATGACCGCTTTCTTGCCAATTTATAACCCCTATCTCACAAGAAATAATGCACTTTAATATTATAATTTTAATATTAAAATGCACTAACACGAACATTCCCCCATTAATTTTAATATTAAAATAAGAGAGTTTACCAGTTGAAGGGAGACTATTATGCATAATGAAAGTGTGCTCTGCATTGAACTTCCACTTAGTAAAACAACAACTTCTACTCCAGAGTCAGTAGTGGTCTCAGACTTGAACTATGACTGCCTTAGGG